TTTTTTTAATAAGTTATATTTAATATATTAAGTTACTAATTTTATACTTTATTAACTTTCTTTTACTTATTAGCTTATTAATAATTTTATTTATATAGTTAGTATAAAAGGGTTATTTAATATACTAATCTTTACTTTTACTTTTACCTTTACCTTTACCTTTACCTTTACTTTTACCTTAGCCTAGGTTTAGGTATAAATACCTTTACTTAATAACTTTTTAAACTATAGCCTAGGTCTAGGCTATTAACTTTAAGCTATAGCTTTAAAAGACTATTACTAGTATAATATAATTACTTACCTATATACCTACCTATATACCTAATAATCTATTTACTAACCTTCCCTTTTTTCCTTTTTCTTTACCTTCTTAACTTATTTTATAACTAGCTAAGCTTATAGCTATAATTTAATATAGCTAGCTATATACCTTAATAGTATATATACTAAGACTACTATAGCCTTTTTTAAGAAAGCTATTATTAGGCCTATTATAATAGTGCTTATAGTAGAATTATAAAAAAGTTATACTATACTAAGTAAAGTAGCTATAAAGGCTTAAGGTTTAATCTCTTTATAGTTACTGCCTTTACAGGCTAGATAATAACTCTTTTACTTTTTACTTTTTCCCTTTTTTCCCTTTTTAAGCTTGCCTTTATATTTATAAAAGTGCCCTGGTTTACTAGGCTATGCTAAGGCCTTACTTAGGGTTAAATAGTGCTTTTTAATTAGCTTATATTAAAGTAATAGTTTAGCTACTAATAGTATAGTATATCCCTACCTATCTTAACTAATAAGACTGCTGCCCTATTTAGTAGCCTATACCGTGCTATTACCAGACTAAAGATTAGGTTATTAAAAACACTATTGTCCAGGAGATCATGACGCGGCTCGCCAATGGGTAAGTCTCGTTGTCGTCGTGTCTTAACAAATGATTTAACCTCTCTCGGAATGCTTCCCATGTCGAGATCTGATCTTATGTCGCTGTACGACACTGGATTCCCACGACAACGGTGCCTGTCGGACCGCTAATTAAGGGACACCATCAACCGCGTCAAGGACGCATCATCGCTTCAGCCATCGTCGACAGACCCCAAGTTGAGTGACTCGTCGCTTCATCCCCAGCAACCTTGACCTCGATGTCGGGTCACAGTCGGTCGACCGTGAAGCACACTTTCAAGACCATGGCCCAAGGCGTTAGTGTCACAATTGCACTCCGCTACCAAGACCTGATGAGGGAAGGAAAACAGGGAATGCACTGGCCTGTGACATCACTAAACCTTGTACCACGAACAGAATATCTCAGGCCCAGGGATCATCCAAGTTGTATGTCACAGGCACTTGCGCTCGACGGGAGCAGTGCCTTATTGGAGTCGATATGTGTTGGTCGCAGGAGGACATCTTTCGCAACACTCAATTGCGGTGTTGACGATATTAGCCCAGAAGTCATCAAGACTATGGATGCCAAAGAGTATGCATTCAACGCCAGTGCTCATAATACTCAACGCCCTGCTCGAAGCAAGGTCATCTTTGCCTTCTTGTTGCCATCAAATCAGCACACTACCTTCGGTCAAGCTTGACTACCTCTCGCTCATCCCGTCTACGTGTCAGGAAAACGAAATGATGATAACACCCAATACCCATAATGATTACAGACGCTTGGCTTTAAAAGCGTGAGACCTTAAAACTGTACTTGACCCTCTTATACATGAGGTAACCGGACTTGTAAAGGATGGGATCACGGCAAATATCGCGTCAGGCGGGTAAGACAGTTCTCCAAGAGTTCCACGTTTGCAGAACCTGTGGAATCATGTGTTCGGTATCAGCGCAGCCAGAGTCATCAGCGGCCTAGAAGCCGAAAAGACCTGCCACTGCAATAGGAACCACCAAGCGTCCAAGCCCAAGGCAGCAATCTTGAAAGTGTCAGGTTGCTGTCAAAGCATGTACAAGTGCTCACTTCAGTTGACATTGTCGGCCTCGAGGTTCTCGGCAGCTTTTTAGACCCTCACTCTTAAGGTAGACGGCAGTTTCTGCCCGACATCCAAGCCAAGTGCTCCCAAGCCTCGTGCTGCTGGAAATAGCAAGCTCTAGAAGAGTAAGTTTTTTAGTAGAAGAGTTTAATTATACGCTCTTTATTATTCTGCTTGTAGTTTCCTCTCGTTTTCTTGCTTGCTGTGACTTCTTTTATTCCAGGCATGTATCCAGGGAATAGGGTAAAGGATATACAGGCTAGCTTTACTCTTATTAACCCTATGCACGAAACCAATCTATTACATTACATTACACAACCCCCTTATATAACTGATATCTCTTAATAAGTTTAATAGATTTAATAAATTTAATTATTTATATCTAATTTCTTCTTTAAACCCCTCCTATCTCTTAACTCTTAACTGGTATCGGCCAAGAGTTCTCGATACAAATCTTCTCCCATCCATCGATACCATCGCTCTCGATCTTGGGCAAAAACTCTCGCAAATAAACATTCCTATCACTCGGGTCCTGCAAAATGCTCGCGCAAGTCTTAGCAAGTTGCCACCACTCCTTGTTCGTCTTATCATCTAACTTCTCACTGGTCACATCCCATGCCAGCATAATTACTGCCTTGGCAATGCCGAACTCGCGCGTCGTTGGAACACAAAGCTTGTCGGTTTCGTTCCACGGGAATCTGTTCTCATCGAGGTCGAGGAGGCTCAGGCATGTTGTTGGCTTGCTAGGCCTCGCGGTTTGGATGTCTGTGATGCCTTTGTGTAAGTTACAGATCCTGCGGATTGAGAGCCGTTCAGAAAGGCCCTTCGGGGAGCTGATGTGGGTATCGGGCAGTGCTGTACCGCGGTCTTGATTGCTTGTGTAGGGTGTGCTAGTGGAGGTATCGTAGGCCATGGCTACGACACCGAGTAGAGCAGTGATGATGTAACGATACATGCTGAAGACTTGGGTTGGTGTTTATGTGGGAATAAGGCTCTCAGTTGGGCAATGAAGATGAAAAAGACAAATGTCTGTAGACCAGGAACAATTCTGCATGCAACATGGCATATATATAAGAAGGTGAACTGAAAATGCCGCGTCAAACATGACTGCGAGTTCAGCGCGGTCCACATGTTATGTTCAGTCAGTTATCCATCAAAGGCATCCCATAGCATTGGACACACACAGCGCTGTGTTCACTGTTCGAGGTAGTCGACAAGAACAAGATCACGACCGTGTCGTCGCTGTTGTTGTCGTTATTGCTGATCATGCTTACAGACTCGGATCTAGTGGTATTCACGACCGACTTGGCCGTGCTCATCACGCTCAGGCTCTCGGGTGGCGCCTTGGGCCCGAACAGATGACATCTTGGTGTGTGTTCTCGCCCTTGTTCGACATCAACTCCCTCACCATGTTCTCATGCCTCTTCATCATCGCCTTCAGATCTGCGTTCTCAGACATTGTCCTGGACACCTTGGGTTTCAGCGTCTCGATCGGGTTCATCGTCGTCACTATAACCCTCGCGTCGTTCGGGTCCTCGTTGCTCACGGTGGCCGCCTAGAACTCATTCTTGCCTTTGTTTCTGTTGGACATGTTGTTTGAAACTATTCTCTTGGTGCAGACCTTGCTGCTATTCTCGTTTATGTAGATATTCTTGCTCCTCAATGCGTACTTGTCCTACTTCATCTGGGGCTGACCTAGCCGGTCATGACCGCGAACTTGGCGTCCACGTGTATGTTTATGCTCACGCTCGTGTTTGTGTTCTTGCTCTAGATCAGCATCGGATCCGTCCCGTCGACAATGCCCGTGTCCAATGCTAGGATTCAGGGCTCATTCGTAAGCAACTTCTGATATAAATGTAGACATTCCATGCACTGTAGTGGTATGTTGCAGGACGATGGTTTCGGCGGCATCGGTAGCCCTATATGGCCCGTTATCCGGCAACGTCTTTATGTCCATTCTCGTAATGCAGTGGATTTTCGCTGATGCGTCCAGGTCCATCAAGTCGAAGTTGACTACGTTCGGCTCTCCGGCAACGCCCTTAGTGGTGTGTTAACGACTCCGGGGTCGGCCGTGAGCGTCATGTTTGACCTGTCCGTGGTTGTCTGGGGCGAGGATCTCGATGATAGTCGCGATCTTCCTCATGTCCGTGACCCAGATCTTATGCGAGTCATCGTTCACCCTCACATACCCGTCATTGCATAACATCACGCCAGTCTTTATGTTATTACGGTGGTCAGTGTTCATATTCTAGCTCTTCTTGATATTTTGGTATGTGCCGATGTCTATATTCGTCTTTATGTGTCGATCTCCATCTTGATCTCTATAAGAAGACCATGCACACAAACACGTGCACAGTTATGAATGCATGTATGAACACGATAGGATGGACATAAGTTTGGCTGCCATAGAAGGACTTTCTACCAATAGTAAAATAAGACTCTACCTATCTTTAGCCCCAATCCCAAACCGAACCTAGCAACAGTATCACTCAAACTTAGCCCCATCCAACTCCCACCTTACTTTCTTCCCCATAGTCTTCGCCTTCTCCTCATCAGCCCGTCTCACTACCTTATCCAGCGGAAATAGATGAGCCTTCTCACCACTCCACTTTATGCCATATCCCCGTTGTCGAACGATGCGCTCATCTCGCCGACGAATCGCGTGGCGCTGGTGGTACCAATCTCCGAAATGGGTTGGGGGCTTCCACCTATCGTCGTCCAGGGCCGGGTTTGAATGTACGTGTTGTTGAGTGATTTGTTCCCCAGCTTGGTGGGTTAAATTTGAGGGCGGCGAATGTTGGTCATCCTGTTGATTGAGAGAAGACATTAGCATATTCTGACGTTTGAGATAGTCTCGAAAACTATTCCAAGCTCTTTCAAGACGGCGATAGCCCACTGGGTCGAGACGTTTCTGTCTAACATGCCAGGGTTCATTCGTCTTGGAGACTTCTGTGGTCGGTGGGAGTTCATGATCCTGTTGATTGAGAGAAGTCGTTGGCTTATTCTTGCGTTTCGAGTTTGCATGAGTACCGGCAATGTGCTCTGGACGACCTGTCTGTGCAACGGGCTGTGAGGGTTCAGTCTTGATAGTGCGACGCTTGGAAACCTTGTTAGCCTGCGAAAGATCGTTCACCTCGGTCGTTTGACCAGATGCCGCATCAACCGTCTCAGTAGCATCTTCAAGGTGAGCCATCTTACGCTCTTTTGCCAACTTGAGAGCATCTTTAGAACACTCCTCCATCAAATAATTGCCCTCATCTGTCAATCTCTTCTTCTCCCCTTCTCCCATGGTCTCACTCCAGTTTGCGATGTTGTTAGTGATCCACGCAATAACATTGCCCTCACGCCCGTCCCAAGACTTGAGCCACCGTTCCTCTTTGTTGGTCTCGGGCGTTTCCATCGACAACCCAAGAATCCAGGCGATTTGCACCTTCTTCTCCTTCAACTTGCTGATAACCTCAGCATGTCCTGAACTGTCTGCTTGTTCGAGATGGTCGATAAGACGGAGAAGTTGCCGTGCTCGTTCGGATCTACAAACTCCTGTAAATAAAATATCATCAGCTTCAGACTCTGAATCGAAGTGATAGTCATCAGACTTATCCTTAGCCTTTACTTGGCCTGCCATTCTTGTGAGTGAGTTGAAACCGTGAATAAGTTGTGTATGAGTTTTGAGTAAGTCGTGAGTGAGCTGTTGGTAAGTTGTTAGTGGGTTGTTAGTAAGTTAGTAAGTTATCGGGGAGTTGTTAGTGTCGTTAGTTTTGTTAGTTTCGTTACTCTCGTTAGTGTTATTGGTGTTGTTGGTAAAAAGGATGTGATGGTGGATGTTGTGATAAAAGAAGCTGGAAAGAAGTGGTGTATTTATACATTGGCTCTTGGAGGTGACATGGTACCAGTTTCTTTGTGTGATAATTAGAGACGACGTAGTGTTCTTTGTTCGATAGGTTGATTGAGGTAGTATGCCAACTAAACATACGTTTAACCACATGAATGTTGCCAGTCACATGGCAGGACAAAAAAATACCCTGGAACAAGGAACATTAAAGATCTAACTCGAAATAAGACGTAATATATTCAATTGTGTGGTAGATAAAATAGAATCACCCCTGAGTGAACAATGAAACCACTCCAATAACAGGCTCGTCAAATACATGAGGAAACAGAACAACACCAATAACACTGTATAATGTAATCCCATCCTTTCCACCATTAATCGGGCATATTGCCAATGCCCATATCAACTCTGCTTCCCTTCCTCCCCCTCAGGCGTCTACTTTTCCGATAACCAGTCTGACCTTGACCCCTTGACCTCCAATCGCACCACCACCACTGTTCAAGCTCTGTAGCTCAAGTTCATAGCGCTTTAGCTTGGTCTCATATTCCACAGCACTTTGCACGTGGTGGCGTATTTGTTCATTGCACTCGAGCATGAACTGGGAAATGCTGTTCGGATCCGACATGTCGACACCGCCTTCACTGAGCGGAGGGACATTCGTGGCCACTGCCGAGCCGAGTCGCGGGCGGGGTGTCATTGCGATGGGTGTTTAAGTATACGGTCGAGGCCGCGACAAACCAGGTGGTCCCGGCGACGGCTGCAAGGATAGGGCCTGGAGTAGCTGGACTACGAGGCGTGGATGGTTTAGTGACGACGCTTGGGAAGTTCGACAGGAGGCTTGCCCGTCCTCTCGTCGCTGCCCTATTATTATCAGCAGTGTTTGAAATTTGGAGGTTGGTTTAGTGACTCGGTCGACTAGACCTCTTAACTGTGCGCTTATTGGCAGTCTGGGTAAACATGCGTCCCTACTGCTGGTGCAAAACCTTGCCTGGCGTCGAGGGGAGATGCGAGAATTTGCTTATCTGGGTGACACTTGACATAAATATGTTGGTGCGTGTACGAAGAGAATATAGCGGCTCGGAAATCTTGTATAGAAGAAGGTCCTATGGCGCAGGGATTATGTATCAATGTAAACTTCTGGTCGTCGGACATGATGCTGGCGGTATCGAGAAAGGTTTATGGTGTCATGTGGCGGCAAAGGACTTCCTTGTGAAACAGTACTAAAATGCTCTTGTCTCTCTCATCATGCTGCATAGGAGACGGCTGATGAGGCGTTTTGGAAGTGGGCCGAGCAGGGGAGACTTAGGTAGCAATGACTCTAGCGTGCGGTTGGAACCCATTACCAGTGCTTGAAAGCCCCCAGAATTGCAACATTCCATTGTGGAATGGTCTCAAGGGGAGGACGATCTCTGCGGGTATACCTGCGTGACGGAGTGTCAACTTCGAAAGGACCATCGCTGTGCCACGGACGCGAAGGCGAATCTTAAGTTGGCAGCGCTTAACCACCACCCACGGCGCCGTTGGGCTTATACAATGTTGAAAGAGTACGGGAATCAATGCGAGAGATCTCGGCATCCCCTCATCACTGGATGCAGATGTAGACCAGACGTGGCCGGTTTGCCTGTCAGCTCACCAATGCGTTGCATCAGATATCTGCTTCTCTTGGCTGAGGGTATCCTGCGAACGGACGAAAACGACGCTTCTCTCCGATACTGCCAACAGGCACGCAATCGTATCAGCAATCCAGTCGCAGGCATGACTTGCTCAGACCGCTTACCAGTTATAGCGAGATCACGAACAAGATCGTCAGCATTTGGGGATTCTAATATATTATGGACAAGATGGGCTTGAGCGTATTCGCGGCCGATGATTGGTGTGACGTCTTCGTAACAGAACCTTTCATCAAGTCCGCCCATTTTTGCGAGTCTGGTGAGTGTAGAGATAGAGCCCATTGTGCGTACTTTCATGTATGGTCCCGGGCTATAGGTATTTACTACCATTGACTATGGACTGGATAGGCAGTAATTCAGCAGGAATAATCAGTCCAAGACTTTAGGAAAAAGAAACCGAGAGACTTGGTGATATAGATCTGATTGCACCTCGGTGATAGCGGAGCTGTCCGAACTGTAAATTTGAACTCACCAGTCAAAGGTACTGAGTGCACAGTGGCGAGCCGGCAGACGAGGTCACCTGCGATTAGATCTCCTACAGCGTTGTCGGGATATTTCCGACTGCCGAACATCCTTACTTACAGTACAGGGGCATCTCTCAAAAGTTCCACTAGCCTTGCAAACTCTAATGATGCCACGTTTACGGAAAAGATATATCTTTGCTTTAATACCTGGAGTATCCTCGGTGCTTTGACCGATCTAAAGATATCTGTAGATTAAGTGGTCTAGAACTGCGAAGTTTTGAATATATTATTATAAGGTCCGACCTCGTCAATCTAGTGCAAAGGCTGTCCCTTAGGTACGTAATTATGCTGTATCCTTATGTCAGTTAATAATGTCTCTTTGCGCCTCGTGCAAATCTATCCTAGGCACAAGCCCTGGTAGGTTCTAGCCTATAACCCACGGAGTGGACATAAAATTTAGGCTCTAGATATTAGCTATCTTCTCTGTGATTGAATCTAGACCCAAACTGATATTTAGCACATTGAACATTGCAATTGGTGCACAAGAGACCTGCTTTCGACGCCGAATCAGGAACAAAGAAAATGAAACAGAACCCAACAGCTGCGAATTGGATCTCTCAGGACTTGTCCGTCGAGTCTGCTGGGAGCCTGCGGCTTTATCGAAACAAGTATTGGCTTTTGACACGGTTGAATTCTTGGTCCCACGACATGACGAGAATTATAACAAATGACTCGTCTCGGCTTACGAGGAGCAGCTCGTCAGCGAGGGGTACGCAACGGCTGTGTTGGCCTGCATCTCGGATGTCGAATCGTTCCTATCAAGCCATACCATATTTGTCCATATACCCAGCATCCCAAAACCAAACACTCTGTCCATCTGGCTGCCAGTAAGCCTTGCTACAGACTCATCGAAGTCGCCCAGCTGCTGCAAGCACGTCAGAGGTCTGGAAAGGCCTCGGCATTTAAAGCTGTTCTCTCTCTCCATCTCTGGTGACAGCATCAGTGAACTGGTAACGGCGACACTTTTCGGCCTAGGGCTAGTGATAAAAATGGAAATTCCCGACATTTTCGGAGGCGTGTTCGAAAATGACGAACGAGTCTTTCCAACGGCAGTCATCTGATATGCAAGAGGCTTTGATGTTGTCCGTATCTGTCATGGCACGGTACAGACGGCTTTACCAGAGCCTTTTCTTGACAAGCCTGCCGTTTCTGCATTTTCGCCATTGCAATTGAGTGCGGAAGGCACATACCTCGTCACAGGCGGGGCTCGAGGTATGGGTCTAGAGATTGCAACGTGGTTTGGGCACCGTGGCGCTCGAAACTTAGTTCTAGTATCCCTCCGCGGGCATCCAGCAAGCCAAGGCAGCACTGAATAACATGGGGATGATGAAAAGTTTCTCTTGCGTATCAAGGAGCTTGAGACCTTAGGTGTGACGGTCCACGTTCTAGCCATTGATGTGAGCAAGAGTAGTGCTGCTTCTGAGATACGCCTAGCTATAGACCATCTGGCCTTACCACCAGTGAAGGGAGTCGTACATGCAGCTGGTATTGTAGGGTACCATACTCTCGAGAGCTGTTTATCCTCCGATATGGCTGAGGTGCTTGCACACAACATTATAGGTGCCCTCGCTCTCGACAGCCTCTTTCCGTCTGGTAGCATCGACTTCCTCGTCCGTAACTGCTCTATCGGACAGCTAGTCGGATTTGAAGGACAGCTGGGCTATGTTCCAGCCAATGCCTTCATTAACCGGCTAGTAGAGCACCGACGGCGGCAACGAGACAATACCGCATCCATACTATGGTTTTGTTGGCGGGGTGTGGGACTAAGGCCCTGATCCAATCGATACGAACGGCACACTCGATACGTTACGGTCAACCGGGCCTACCTAATTAGGTCATTCCAGCTGGTCTAAGTACACGATTTGACAGGGGTCAGTTATGCAAGCCTGATTAATGTACCTTTGTCGCGCTAGGCCCTAGAAAGCTAGGTCTATCGGACCTAAGACAGAAATAGTAAAAAATGTACTGAAAAAATACAATTTGTGTCGCCCGCTTGTTTTTAATAAACGGCAAAACAAGCGTACACAATCGATCCGTACGCTAATACATCCGGATCATAAGTCACGTGACTAGCCTGTCTCGCAAGGTCAGGCCCCGCAGCCTGCACAACCGACCTAATAGGCCTAGCTTGGTACCTATAGGTTATGCAAAGTCACTGAAAAAGGCGCCGTAACGTATCGAGTGTGCCGTTCGTATCGATTGGATCAGGGCCTAAACGCACAGAACAAGTTGTCGATGCGCATGATCTCCCGGGGCATGTGAGATAGAGGGCTTTCTGATATCAGCCAGGATGAGGCATTTGAGGCTTGGGACTATATATCTAGCCTCAAGACCGACCACGCCGTCATCCTACGAGCGATGGAGTTGGATGCTAATCAACCACGTCATCCCATTCTTCGGAGCATTGTACCACTTCAACAGAGCTGGAGTGAATGTCTCGAGCATACTGTGGCTGTGATAGGCTTCGCCTGTCGAACCGCAGCCGGGGAAACGGCTGAAGACCTCTGACAAGTCCTCCTCGAAGGTAAGAGTATAGTCCGCGAGGTCTCCCCTGAGAGATTCCCGAGGCAGCGAGTATGAAGCTCAAGACCAGGCTGTGGGCCAACCTGATGTCTGACGTCGACTCGTTCGACCACCAGTTCTTCAAAACGACAAAGCGTGAAGCGGCCGCCCTTGATCCACATCAGCGTCTCCTACTCCAAGCAACATACCACGTCCTGGAGTCTGCTGGTTGGCTCAGCGGCAACACCCCGGAGGTGAACAACGATTGCAAGGAAGGCCCAGGCCATAGCACAGCCTGTTTTATAGGAATGAACGCACCCGACTGGCCGCTCAACTTGGCCAGTAACCCGGTGTCCCCCTTTACCGGCGGGGGGATGCTGCGGTCCTTTGTTGCGGGACGGCTGAGCTATCACTTCCGCGGGACAGGCCCATCGCACACCATAGACACGGCCTACTCTTCCCCAATGGTTGCCGTGCATCAGGCCTGCAGCTCACTGCAACTAGAGGAGTGCACTCGTGCTGTCGCTGGCGGCACCAACCTCATCACCAACCTAGCCCTGTTCGTCACAATGCACACCGGCGGCTTCCTCAGCAAGACGAGTACTTGCAATACATTTAATGCAGCTGCCGACGGCTATTTCGTGGTGAGGCCGTTGGTGTGGTTGTGCTCCAGCCTCTCCCCACCGCTCTAGCTGATAAAGATGACATCCACGGTGTGATCCTCGCGACGGGCAACAACCAGAACATGAAAGGAACCACCATCACCAATCCCGTCTTGGAGAGTCAGGCCGGTCTGTATTGCCATGTCCTGAAGCGCGCTGGATTTGCTAAAGGCATGTCCTACGTTGAAGCCCATGGTATAGGCACTCGTGCCGGGGACCCTGTCGAGATGGGTGCCATAAGTCAAATACTAGGCGAAGGCCGTAGAGCTACTACACTGCATGTTGACTCTCTGAAGGCTAATATCGGGCACTCTGAGGGTACGTCTGGCGTTATCCCACTGATCAAGGTCTTGCTCATGATGCGGCATGGAATGATCACACCACAAGCTGATTTTAGGGACTTGAATCCAGATATACAGCCTCTTGAGCTTGACGGGCCCGTAATCTCAATGACACATCAAGACTGGACCGACAGAAGACGATTAGCCTTGGTCAACAGCTACGGGGCGTCTGGGAATAATGCCGTTGCTGTCGTTGCCCCCCCACCATCTCCATCGACCTCAACCAGGATGGTGTCTGGACAGTCAGCATCAGGAGCACGCCGACAGGCTGCCATAGCATCTCCTAAGTTCCCCTTCGTTATTTCCGCTGCGTCTTACACCAGTCTGACTTCTCATTTGAAAAGGTTGAATAGTCAGATACAAGACGGCGCCATAACTAGCCCAATACACGACGTGGCGTTTACACTGGCGACTAAACGAAATCGTCAACGCCAGCATTTATTCTGCACAACAGCGGAATCTTGTGAGTCATACTCTGTGTGTGGAAATACGAGAGGGTATTAATTGTTGTCAATCAATCCAGTGAGAGACCTCCAGGCCGAGCTGTCCAACCCAGAAGGAAACATCTCTATTGATCAGCACCCCAACCTGTCGTATTGCTCTTCAGCGGACAGAACGGCAATACGGTGCCGTCAATCCCGACTCTATACAACAGCTCGGAACCTTTCCAGAAACACCTAAATGAGTGTAATGAGGCCATTGAGCTGCTCAATTTGCCCAGTCTGTTCCCAGCCGTGTTGCAAGGACTCCAAGGTGAAAGTGATCTTATTCTCCTCCATACTGCCATGTTCGCCATTCAGTGCTCGAGCGGTATGTGTTGGGTCGAATCTGGTCTCAACCCGTAGGCAGTCTGCGGTCACTCTTTCGGAGAGTGGGCAGCAGCAACAGTCTCAGGAGTCATGACGCTCAAGGAGGGAATGAAGGTCGTTACAGGGTAACTGTTTCTCCTATGCCTATATGATAAAAGCTGAGTGACCGACTATGAAGTCGTGCATCCATCATTGACAGGTTTTGGGACGAAGATTCTGGCGCCATGGTGGCTGTGGAAGCTGACCTAGTAAACATGAAAAGGATCCCGGAGCAGCACCTGGAGCCTCTCTTGACAGACTGCCGCGTTACCTTTTGAATCTTTCCATGTAGGGACATGGACAGGACCTGCATCCAACGTGATTGTTAGCAGCACCGGAGGCGCCGTTTTCTTCACACAAGCCATGTAAAGAATCAGCCGCCGTTTGGGCCTATCAATATTCCTCAAAGCAGGTATCGGCGGACCTATCACCGCTATGGCAAGGAACGCTCTACCGCAGACCAGAGACCGAGGCCAAGACCAAGGCCTCAACGTCTTCGTGCCCGTTGGTGGAAAGGACCCAACCGCGTATCTGGCAGAGGTCAAGGTTGACGTATTCGGCAGCGAGCAGCAGTAACCAAGTGTTCAACCAGAGAAGAGTGCCACGCCCCCAGCCCAGACATCCAAGCTTGTGCACCATGCTCAGCTCACTGTAGATCCCCCTGTCGACCTACTTTTCAACGGTGTCCGTGAGATTCTGGCTCGGTGTCTAGACACCTAGGCTTAGCAAATAACCAGAGAAGCCACACTGGACGATCTAGGAGCGGATTCACTTAATGGTCCCGAGATAGCAGCCAACCTGTCTAATCGGTTCAACGCGAGAATTTCGATGGACGATTTCGCCAAGGCTACTGACGTTGCTTCTCTTTGTGCTCTAGTCAGCATGATATCTCAGGATGGGGACCTCGAGGCTAGTCATGCTCTCCGACTGAGCGATCAAGTGATGCACAGGATATGCGAGATACTCCGTGATTCGCTCGGTCTGGAATTAAGTGACATAAAACCCGACTCGAAGCTCGAGGACCTAGGGATTGACTCTTTTGTTTCCGTCGAGATCATTGGTAACCTAAAGGAAGCGTTCAACACCGATATCACGTCATCAGAGTTTGCTTCAGCGACTGATTTGGCGTCTGTTTATCAGCTGGTGACCGGACTGCTGAGCAGTTCTCGGTCGTCAAGCACCTCGCCGGGACTCTCAACACCAGACGCATCAGCAAATAACGGCTCCGAGTCATTTCACAACGCCTTTCTTCAGGTCCGTGGAAGCTTTGACTACCACGCCAACGACACCAAATTCACTGGTTACTGGGATCTTGCCTATCCGCAACAGTTGAGCGTTGTGGCGGTATTTATTATTGAAGCATTCGAAAAGCTCGTCTGCGCTTTGTGGCGCTATAAGGAAGAGGAGAAACTCTCTGATCTAGGTGCAATACTCCCCAAGTACCAGAGAGAGTTAACTCGACTATGGGATATATTGGCAGAAGCTGGAGTTGTCGAGAAAAGTTCGGTTGGCTTCTTGCGCGGCGCGACCAAACCGACCCTCAATAGCACCGACAGTAGTATAAGGCCTGCCAGGGAACTAAGCAGAGAGCTAATGGCAGCGCTCCCCTAGCTTGCGTCTGCTTACGACCTGGATGCTCTGCTTGGATCGTACCTGGCGGAATATCTTACGGGCCAGACTGATTCTATTACTACTCTCTTTAGCAGCAATGCAGGCTGCGCGCTCCTTGAGGACTTTTACGCCAACGGACCCGATCTCCGGGCCACTACGCAGATTCTATGTGACTTGATAGAAGCAGCAATACGCATAAATGCCATGACCGGGTCCGATGGAGAGCTTTTTCGCGTGTTGGAGGTCGGCGCTGGCACCGGAGGAACTACGCGGCATCTGGTTCCATTGCTCTAGGCAACTGGGTTACCTTTCACCTATACCTTCACCGGTGTCTCTGTATCACTTGTTGCACGGGCCAAGAAGTCACCGCTGTTCCGAAGCGTGCCTGAAATGGACTTTTACAAGCTAGACATCGAGGAGGCACCACCTGCGAACCTCCTTGGTTGTTACCATCTTTTCATATCTAGCAACTGCTTGCATGCCCCACGTGACTTGAAATCCAGCCTACTGCATATCCGCCAGCTCTTGCGCCCTCGCGACGGGTGTCTGGCCTTGGTCGAGCTGACTCAGAAGCAGGCTTGGTACGACCTAGTTTGGAGTTTTTTAGATGGTTGGTGGCTGTTTGATGATGGTGGTACTTACGCTCTTCAGAGTCCATGGGCTTGGGAGCGCTATATGCGTGACGCGGGCTTCTCTCATGTGGACTGGTCAGAAGGCGTCAGCCGTGAGTCGCGAGGGGTCTGTGTCATCTGCGGTCTAGTTGCCGATCTTGATCAGCCGTGTCCCATCCAAGCCACATCAATGCTCTTACGAAACCCAATTCTGTTCCTCACCCATCCTCGGATTGTAGCCATAACCTCTTCTTGGTCCCTATTGGCTGTGGGTCTGGCGCCGTCTTCAACCCTCTCGCCCCTCGGCTGAGCGCTATGGACAATCTGTCTGTCTACTACTTTATCGGTCCGTTTTTGCGTACCATGTCTCTGCTAACCCTTGGTTTGCTTTTATATCTTAAATCCTTTACTTGCCCTTTCGCTCTGCCGTGTCTTGGCTAACCCTTAGCTTCTTTTCCATGTCCTAGATTCCTTGCTTGCCCTTTCTCTCTGCCGTGTCTCAGTCCCTATATCTAGGAGCTATGTTAGTTTAGTTATAGACTGTTCTCTCTATTTACTCTGATTTTTAACCAGAAATATAATGTGGCGTATTATTAAATAATTGAAGGAGTCTTAGAGTTAGTTGCTCTTTTACTTTTCCCTCTCTGGTATTCTAGGGGTCCAGGGGCCTGGACACAAGACATCCCTTAAGATTCCTTATATACTATTAGTTAATTGATGCACCAGTGCTGACTAAAGAGTTTATTTTATTAATGCTACTGTATAATAAAGCATTTAGTAACGCAGATAAGAGGTATAAAAGCCCACTCCCATCACCCCGAATATCGATCTATAAAATCAACAACTTGAACATTGCACCACCACAAATAACAACAATAGATCTTCTATCAGGTATCCACAAAAGCTTCAATCCGTCAATATGAAGTTCCCAGTTCTCGGCACCTTTGCAATGCTCGTCACCATTGTCTACGCACAAGACTCTGACGACGAGATGCGAGGACCATTTGCTTATGTTTGTAGCATGAACATGCCTTTTAACTATTCAGGCCACTAACATGTTTCTAGGGTGGTGGTCAATGTGACGATTTCGGGAAAAGGTGTGGCTCGACTTTGGATTGCTGCGGTATTTACGTTTGCCGCGCTGTGGATGACAAGCCTTTCAAAATATGCAAGGTGGACGAATGCCGTGCTCTCGGCAAAGGTTGCCAGGTTGACTCGGAGTGCTGCAGTGGGGTTTGCAGCTGGGTGGACCCCAAAAATCTCAATTCAGGCGCTCGGGAATGTAAGAAGGACCGAGCTTGCCGAACCGAAGGAGATATCTGTGACAACGACAAATATGCTTGCTGCAAGGGTCTCAAATGCACTGGAGATCGCGACAAAACACGACGATGCTATTAGGTGCGTGGGCGGAGCTTCCGGTCACTTGGCACAGGCTGCGCGTGGAATCTTCCTATTGTGTGTATCCGGGATACCTCTGTCAAGGCCCAAGAGACAATTACAAGTCTGCCGAAGTAGGGATATGATCAAGGGTTACAATATGTCTAAGATGCGATATGCTCTAGGGTGTGAAGCATGACAGGGTTAGATAGACAAAGCAGAATTTAGATATTTTACCAAGGCCTGTTTCTAAACTAAGGTATAATATCATTAAGCTAGCTTTTAATATTTTCCAATACGTTATATGAAATATAACTTCCTTGCCTAAGTATAGCTCTTCTTAAAGTATTTAAGGTACTATCCCTAATGGTCCTTTTGATCTATTATTTAATAATAATATATAATAGCTACTAAGCTACTCTTGCGGCTGGAAAAATCGGCCATTGATCTTACTGGGGTAGATAGCGATGACGAAGGGAGTCTTTTTGTTGCTCATAGTGGAGACTTGGGGACTTTTGAGGCTTTTGAGCCAGATTCACAGCCCCAGCACACACCTCCCGCACCTCCATCATCCCCATGACCCAAGACCATGAACCACTTGAGCGCAGTTCTGAAGGAATGTGAGCCCGTCAACACCGAGATAGCACGCATGACTTGGAAGTGTCTTCAGGGGACGCATGGTCAATCGTGGGTCAGTCTCATCTCGTCTCTGCGGGGCTTCCAGGCATCCGCCTTCAAGGATCCCGAGAACTCGCCTCTTGGTAACCACCTTGGCAACATCTTTCAATGCCTCCATGGTGAACTCGGCATCCCACCAACCCCGGGACAAGCCCATCAAGAAACTGAACTGGACGTCGAGATGATCGATACCAAGAATGCTGAGGGGACACAGAGGAAAGCCCTTCAAACAGTCATTGGGAGCTTAGAGACTGTTCTCGGCAGGATCTCCAAGAACATATAGGCCTCTCATCTTTAGCCAGCCATCGAGACGAAGACTGCTATCGAGGCCAAGTCTGGGGATGCGGTAGTAGAGGTTGACCCTGAGCTTCAGGTAAATGGTACACCAATACTGTTTCAAGGCATGGCACATCCTGCGCAGCATGTCTGTCACGGGTATCTCGCCACATGCACGCAAAAACAGCAGGCACGTCTAACCCAAGTCCCACGTTAACGTTCCGCGTCCCAGACGATACATTTGACTCGGAAGAAGACGAGCCAGGGCTGGTGGGGACATCTGGCCCCCGTGAGAGATGGCAACCGCAGACCCCCAACACGCCTAGGCCATTATCTTTCGAGTCAGATGTACCATGACTGTTGCCTGTTTTTACTAGGTATCGTCAACTTTTACCTGAAACATACATAACTTCCCCGCCTTCGTCGCGCGGCGATGGCCAAGTCCTTGGTCCCTCGAGCGTGGAAGGTCAACGAATACTTGGGTCTATGAAGGATGGCGTTGAGGTAGGTGTCTAGGACGATCCCGACTGTGATGGTGGGGATGATTGGGTGTAGCTCACACAAAGTCCTTGTCCCCCTCCCCGTCCCCGATCCGGACCCTAGGTCAAGCGGCAACCTCGTCATATTCCCGCACTCGCACAATCTCCCAGTCCCGTTGTTAGGGTGGACCTTCGTCGTAAGAATCTTGTCACACTTACGAGCCACGTCAAGCAGGGTCGCAACCTTCGTCTTGATCTGATCATGACACGTATCCACGGCCGTGCTGTAAGCTCGTGAGCCCTGTGTGATATACAAGAGGAACACACGCATGTAAAAGCGCGGGTCTATGAGACCGGGTAACTTGTGAGACGTTCAGAGCCAGGTGGCTCATTTAATCTGCTTATGAGACAGGGAAGTGTTTTTGGGTTTCTTATCACGCGATGTTAGGCTGTGCGCGGTTTGTCTTGCTTGTTCTGTACATTTCAGCTAGGAAGTGCATGCCTTGCATCTTGCTGTCAGACTGCACTTCCTCGGAGAATACGGTTTGGAATTGAATGAAGAGAAGGCTGAGCAATAACTCGGCCATTTTTGTAAGTGGCTCAATGTTTTCCAACTCCTTCAGAAGCGGGACAGGTGTCTTGAAAAGGTTCTGATTATGTGTGTAGCAATTCGGTTGTCAAGCGGGTTCTTACAAAAGAAAAACGTGCTCAATCTAAAAGAAGAGAAACGATATCTTCAAGAAACATACTCTGTCACAAGATTATATGGAGGCTATCATGAACAATATGATGGGTAAGTGGTTGGTCGACGCAATCGATGAAGCTTGCGTGTTCCTTTTGATCAATACTGAAGACATGACTGCAGTCTTGCGTAATGATATGCGCCGGATTGTACCCTCAGGGCTCCTTTCTTCGAGAACCAGGATAAACCGAAGTAACGCCTTTGTCGTATCATCGGTTGGCCTTCTGAGGCCCGGGACATCTCATGATGTGTTCTCTTATGCTTACGCTAGATGCCAAGCCAAAACTCCGACGGCCTAGTCAACACTTAACGACTTAGGCAGAAGCATGTCACTGTAGAACTGTGGGTAATTGCAAAATATACCTCGATAAGTACCAATCTCATGGAGACCTTGTTCTTTCTCAAGATGGAATTGCCATTCCGCTTTCACTCTTGAAGAAAATACATCGCTGATCATCTTGACTGAGCCTGGGCCATTGGTGCAATATAGGGTTGTATTATCTCCATTTCTCCATTCAGAAGACCTGGTGCCGCAAAGGCTTCAACAAGCCTTCCGGCATTTTCAAGGTATCATGAACGTCTGCTCGTATCACAATATATCTCTTGTGGTCGACACTGACGCTGACGCTGAAGCTGAGGAAACAGCCTGAGCATGAGCAGGTGGAGGTCATCACCGAATTTGTAGAAGCAGCATGGTGAGTCCTCCTGCTGGGAGTGGCGACAGGCCAAGTCACGAGAATGTTAAGCCTCCATGTCAGGGCACTTTGACGTACGGAAACGCGATATGAACTGCATGAGAAGGCTGAATCAGTTTGCGCTCATTTGGGCCTCCAATGCGAGACCTGACAGATCCGAAAGGAAATGCAATAGAGCTAGAGACGGAAATCAAGACAGGAAGGGCGTCTACCGCCTGAGATCGAGCGCGTGGGGCCCTGCATGGGTTTAAAAAGACTGAGAACTCTCTCTTTATTTTATGAATAATATATGCACAGTATTGAGCTGGCCTAGCCTCAAGTCCTAAGGCCAACTGCAACAAAGCCTAAAGCCTTCAAATCGATATTGGCACTCACTTTGCATCCACGAGTCTGACTAGACGAGGTAGTTTCTCCTCATTTCCAATAGTAACGATGAAGACAAACCGACCTCATCGCGTTTAACAGGCACGACTATATTGTCAAAGTCGTCCCAAGTATCCCGTCCATCGACAATAAAGCTTTCAGGAGCCCCTTACTGACTGACCGATTTATCTTGATGATATATTCCGGAATGGCAACGCGGCCATAAATACCTCCCTTAATAGCATTCAAGTGAGTGCGGCTTCCTAGAGCGGCTCCTCTTTAGCTACTTGCAAGGGTTTCCATTCACGGATAGTTCCAATGATACTTCCTTGAGAAAAGCTTTGACGACCCCTGCTTCATTGAACCACGCTTCTACGGCTGTTACTTTAACAATAGCAGATTGGAGACTAACGTTTACTCACACATGTCCTTTGGATTCTCGTCAACGACTGTTGACTCCAGCATCCAGCGCGGCAACCCTTCAGGAGCTCCGTCTAGCGGCCTCCAAGTTGCACCCCTACGACAATTGCTGCTATCATTGGGACTTTTTAAGTTACTTCTCACGGACTCTATTCTCTCGTGGCTCTTTAACCGTGTCTCCGATCAAGACTCTAATGCATGCAATACTCTTAATGGTGTATCTTACATACTTTTGGTCTTCAGGCTATGTAGCATCAAAACGAGGAATTCCAATGTTTCGCAGTACCTCGCTGGCAACGGAGAAGACCACAATGTTACACGAGAAGTCAACTTTATGCTGCGTATGTTCTCGACTGAGAAGGCTGCTAAGGAAATGGCGCCGAAGCTGTTAGTCAGTTCGGGAGACATTGATAGTTCCTCAATTTGCCGCGCCTTTGGTTTGACGGTGTCTCAGTTCATTTGGGAAGGTCAGTGGTAGTGTGGTGTACGTATCACAGATGTTTCTAGAGCAGTCTGGATTCAACACCGGCAAATCAAGTTAGATAATATTCGAGAACACCATGAATCCGCTCACGACAGTACCAAGAACAAGAAATGGGAGCCAAAGGTTGCGGCAAAAGCATACGACACCATCATGATATCCGAGTCCCATTCTCTAAGTCACGAAACGTCATCACGTTCGAGTATAACACAGGGCAAACAGCCCCACACATCAGCCAGTCCTAGCTTATCTCGCCAGAATGAGGATCCTTCTGATGACGATAACCTTCCTCCTGTTGATGATGTGCCCGGTCCAAGCTTGTCAGCTGCCCCATTCACAAAGTTCAACGACACCGCAGGGCCAAGCTCGAGCCGGTTAATAAAGAGGGTAAAAACAGCGACCTCCGAGGATATGACAGAATTTCCCTTTACATCTTTTAAAGGTGAACCGAAATCACATCATTTCTCATCGCTATCAGTCCAACACCAGCGACGTGATGTGAATAGACCTACTCAAGACGATCTCGACACAGAAGAAGAGGAGAACATGGACACCAAACCCATTACAATAGTCGTATACATTGCAGCAAACCCATAGACCGATCTCCAGAATGAGGGCAAGCATTTCGTGGTGAATGTCTACTCCAGCGGGAAAAGAACGTGCACTGAGGCAATGGGGCCGTTTGATGCCGAGCGTTGGGAGAGCCTGGAGAAATGGCTCGGAACAGGACTTTGCACGTGCTCTGGTGCCAAAGACTTCGCAAAGAAAGAGTGGAAAGAACGAGAAGAGGCTGAGAGTCAAATGGATAAAAACTTAGTCCTCGTACACCGGATGATTCTTACCATGATCTTTGCAAGAGCGACAAGACGGATCAACTTGGCTATCCGGTACTGGGATGATGTGGCGATGGAAAAGGCACAAGGTCATACTCGTGATCTTGTAGCCGCCGACGAGCACAAAAGGATGATACTTTTCCTGCCGATGGACTCCAGCTTCTGGCAGCAGGAAGCAAGGCTCACTGCAGTTCTCAACCTACTTGACGAAGCCTACCACTTCCACAGCGGCTCGTGCGAAGTATACCCATTTCGACACGAGGCAACAAGCGCCTTGGCCAAGATACTCGACGTAAGGGCACTCGATGCGATTGCAAAAGACGCTCCGTTTAACTATGCCTACCGACCCTGCTCCAAGTCTCAGCTTGCGGATCAAGAGACCACTATTGTCAAGGGCACTTTCAGCTGTGCCGCCCTTCACGTGTGTGAGTTGGCCTAGATAGACTAGGAAGCAGGAAAGCTCATCCGGTGCATAAATGGCGCCGGAGTGCCAACATATCCCCCTTATGTAGAGACTCGTGAGGACGATGAGCTTCCCTTATTATTGCCCAGACGCGATTGGTTCCACCAGAAAAGGTCGATACTCTGCAGAGCTGGGGAGAAGTTCGAGTTTTGATGGTCGGCGACAAAGTGGATGATGAAGATACTGTCTTCACCGGCCTCCGCGATAACTCTTCCTTGACAGATGGCCTCGTTCAGAAGTCTAGGCCCGGGCATCAACCAAACTGGGTTAGGAACAAAACGGACAGAAAAGCCAACGTCAGGGAACTCAAGGAATTCTGTCTGTTTTGGCACTTCTAGCCACATATCCCGCTCAATTTGCATCTCTCAAGATTGACATGAGATCCGACATTGGAATATTTGAAGAGGGCAGAAATGGTCGGTTTTTCATCAATGAAGTGTCACGTTGGATGAGTGGCGTTTTTTCAATAGCGAGCTGTACCCTTGGCCGCATGATCAAATGTGCGAAGCGATGGGGAAAGCATTTGCGAAGGAATCCGGTAAAGCTGGTGGTGAGGAGCAGGGAGAGGTGCAGAGGTACGGGAAGGGGTACTGGGGAGACAGGGAAGAGGAGGGGGCCAATGTTGAGAAAAGGAAGCAGAAGAAGTCAGGACGACGCAAGCCAAGCCAAGCCAAGTCAGTCATTGTGTGACTGGGTAGGAAGCTGGTGAAGATGTAGTTAGTTGCCTAGTTTGGTTGCTTGTCTGGGTATCTTGGCTATAGCTATGCTGAATCCTATGTATTCATGCGAAACAAGTGTATTTATTAAGGTGTTGATATTGCTCTAGTGACCGAAACCGAATACGGTTATCTTCCTGGCCAATCACAAGATAGTTAATTATATGATTTCTCTCCAATTAAAACTCTTTCTTGCGTGCCTGCCCTACCTACCTAACCTGATGTTGCGTTAACGTTAGATATAGGGAAACTGGCTACCCCTAGAAACTAGCTACCTTTAATAAAATACTAAGAATAAGATAGTATTAGGAACTTAA